CTGTATCTTAACAAGGGATGCTCCAATGAAATTTCTTTATATGAAAGATCCTATCTTTTTTTCGATGAGGAATCACCTCCTCAAATGTTTTACACTTATTTAGTTACACCCTGTATTTGGTAATTTGTAGAACCGATCAAAACCCTTGAAAAACAAAGAATTCATGGTGTTTTTGGTTTTTGTTCTGTTTATATATAAATTATTAATATTTCGAGTGAAGTGGTGGTAAATATCATGATGAAAGACAATGTACTGTTTAAAATAAGATGGTCCTAAATTGTTCAATATTTTGTATACAAAAATCATTGTGAAATATAATAAGTCTTTGGGAAATGGATTGCCAATTTAAAACATTAGGCATAGTAGTAATAGGGGTATCTCTACGGCACTGCAAAATAATCCTCATACCACGATTCTGAAGTTTTTGGATCTGAGACAATTTATTCTGATTGAATAGATATAGGATAGAGGAACAGTAGTCAAAATGTGGCTGAACAATTGACTTGCAATTCTAGAGAAAAAGAATAATTTTTTTGAATTTTTTTAATGAATATGCTCAAAATGTTCATCAAATGATAGAGTGTTATCCATCAGGAATCCCAGATATTCAGTTAAATTCACTAATCCAATTATTTCATCATCAGTGCTGAGGTAGTATAATGCTGAGGTAGTATGAGGTAATGTTGTAGACCAGTGCTTTCACAAGTTGACAAAAACAGGTTTCTGTGATTTTTTTTGGGCAATTTCAGTAAAAATGCTTCACCAATCATATAAATCATGTTTTTTTTGTTTTTTTCAGTATTCTAATCCTGGCAACCCCCTAGCTCATTACGATACCACTGCAGAAGAAATTTATGATCAGTGTGATAAGAAAGTGGATATGATAGTGAGTGTTTTGTAACTTTTTACGAAATTTACACGAATTATCTTTCATGAATAACTACATTATTTCAGGTAATAGGTGCAGGGACCGGGGGTACAGTGTGTGGTATTGGCAGAAAATTCAAGGAGATATCTCCTGAAACTAAGATCGTCGCTGCAGATCCGGAGGGTTCACTCCTCGCTCTTCCTTCAGAAAAAATGAAAAGGAAGTAAAAACAGATTTCTCTATTATTTGACCAAAGCTTTTCTTTCCCAAAAACCAGTATTTCGAATAAAGTTTGAAATATTAATCACTAGAATTATGCAAATGTACGAATGCAACAGCTTTTCTATTAAATACTAACACGGATATTGAATTATATCTGTAATTTGTGTAAGTTTGCCCACGTGAGCCTTCTTTGCAGCATCTTATTGTCCAGCAACGGGAAAAGGATGACCTATGCTTGGAAACTGCACAAATATTTATCAGATGATTCAGATGTAATTCAGTATCCGTCCTGATATTAGCCAGAGATTAATATTTTGAATTCATTCAAGTTATGAGGTCTCAGTTGCCTTGCATATGCTTCTTGAATAAAAACCTTGTTTTACTTCATTATTGATTATCTTTACAGTTTTTTTACGTTGTCTAGAGGTTTTTTTTTAGGTGGTGGGATGTGAAAGTAACAGAACTCAAACTGGAAAAATTGCAAACGGCAACAATGAATATGAACTGCGAAAGGGTTTTGAATATCATGAAAAAGTCTGGATTTGACCAGATACCTGTTGTTGATAATGGAGGGTAAGTAGGTTATAAATGTTTTTTTTTTGTAGTTGCACAACTTCAGCATTTTGATTTTTTCAGAGGTATCGTTGGTATGCTGACTCTTCAGAACCTCATGAACGGATTGATTTCTGGAAAAGCTAAATCCAACGAAAGCATCGAAACGTGTATCGTGAGGATTTATCCCAAAGTATATAAGACGGCAAATCTCGGGGTGGTATCTAGAATATTGGAAAGGGAGAGTTACGTCATCATCTTGGATGCACAAGGTACTTTGAGTAAACATTTATCTTTGTTCCATTTTTTATCATGTGATTATCTTCTAGGCACTGGATCTTCGCAGGTCGATAAACCAGTGGCGATAGTCACCGCCATTGATCTTCTTCAGTTCGTTCAGAAGAAGAGCTGATAATCTTGTATGGTTAATATTTTGAGGTATATCGTATTGGGATTAGAAATAAACTATCTGCGAGGGTGCTTTCTGGTGACTAGCAGCGGCGGCTCGTCAGAGGAGCAAGCGAGGCTTAGCCTCCCCATAAAATTTGAGGCTATTCATCGCAATAAATTGAAAGATATTGACAAATGATTATGATTATTTTTTTCTAAAAATGCTTGGGTATCATTACTTTACCATTAATTTTTAATATAAATACGTAATATGCCCGAAAAAACACTATCGCTCACTACGTAGTACGTACCACACTGTAACCTGCATTAACAAATGTCAAACGCACCGCCCAATAACGAATAAACCATCAACCCGAAATAATAAATGCCATACGTTGCAAGGGAGCCAAGCCTCCGACCGTTTTAAAAAAAACACAAGCTTCGCGAGGCCGGTCCAACCAGCGACATACGTCCCGATTTGTACTTTTAATTGCAGAAATTATAAAGTCAGGGGAGGCTAGCCTCCAGTTGGTCTCTGTTAGTGTACGGTTGCATTTGTTTTTTATTTAATTATTCGAACGGGATGCCGTGACGGACCGGGACTGAAAAATATTTCGGTAAATCGTTTCTTGATAATATTTGTTATTTGTGTATAAAACAGGCAGTATTGTGTTATAGCAGTGCTCTTTGGTAATATTTTTAATGTGTTTTTAAAGTGTTTTCTTTCAATTCCAAGGTGTTTTCACTTTTCGGTAAGTTTTTTGTCCATTTAATATGGATAAGTTGGATGAAATTAAAAAATCTGACGATACAGTCGATTGGTTGCTGACAAGTTTACGTATTTTGCTTTAAATAGGTGCGGCACCCCAAAAAATTTTCGCGCTCCTGCGGGCTTTTCTGTGTGTATATAGTCTTTATGACTTTAGTCTCCCCTGTTCTCCAATGCACGAGCCGTCACTGGTGACTAGGTTGATACTTGAGGAAGTTCCTCCGGTATAATCAGAATACAAAATTTATAAGAGGGAACTTTCCCAAATGAATCATCTCTCGAACACTGTCAGTAAATTTTTAAAAGTAATGCTTTTTTGTAGTGAATTTTATAATAAATAATTTTATGTAAGCTTCAAGGTCTCCATTATTTTCCAACTTTTATATATGAACATAATGATACGACTTGAGTGCCCTAAATTTTTTAGATTTTTATTGGAGGAAAATAGGATCTTTATTATTGAAAATTTCATTGTTACAAAAAATTTAATAACTAATTTTATCTCGTTTTTCATGTTTCTAGAGGTAATATCAATTAGAAAATATATATTTCGAAATGAAATGTCGAATTATTCATCCCTCCCAACTACCCACCCCGTAGGTTCTGGTTTCTGGTAAATGCCTGCTGCCGGTAAACAACTACTTCCCCGGCCAGTGCCATGCTGGATATTGAATTATATCTTTCAAACATAAATACCTCACAAAAGTTTGTTTTGCAGATGTTTCTCATTCATCCAGCAGCAGAACCATTCTGAAGTTATTCGAAAAGATCACCTACAGACCGGTTTCAAATTATTATCTCTAATCAGTGCAGGAAAGATCTGACCCAAACAGCAAACTGGTTGGGTCTCGATTGATTTCAATGCGACTCAACTGCATACATGAAACCTTTGCCTAAGAGAAAGATTGTTAACTACTAACAGCTCCATCTTGTGAACAAAGCCCCAAGTGTGGAAGAAACATTCCATGTACCAATACTCTAAAAGAGATATATACATAATAGAAATGTTCATCTCTCATGAATTGTGCAATTTCATGACGAAATGAAGGTTCAGTAAAACTTCAACTAGTTGCAACAGAAAATATTAAAGTTACAGTATTAGTTGGCGAAGCGTGAATTTGTTTTTTGGTATCAACGGCATCAAAAAAAATATTTTTGAAGACAGAGTAGTCACATTTATAGCCACAATAAACCCTTATGGGTTGCGGTGGAGGGTCGAATAGACCCACTCACTTTAGACCTAGTCACATTTATGAAACTAATACATTGTCTTAAAATATATAATTATAATGGTATTCATTTATACAAAATGAAATGTATAATGTGTTGTTTAATTATGATTTTGTGGATGTTTTTTTGTGTAATTAAATAGATATTTAGATATTTATTCATCACTTTTCGTAGCATTTGTAGATTTGTAGAAAGTCAGAATTGTAATTGAAACAATCAACATAAACATAAACTTCCAGATGAGATACCTATATAGACATGCATATATACATAGACTTAGATTACACACAAATTACATAAAAAAAGACATATCAAACACATTAAAATTGAAAATGATGAAATATTTTATTGAAATAGAGGAAACACATTCAAAAACTCGTTAAAAAATAGTAACAGTGCTCCAACAAATCCGATTCAATTTAAATTTTGAAACTACCGGGATTCAAGTTTCTCATTTATGTTGGTAATATCATCAATGAATCCTATCTCAAAGAATTTTTGTCCGACATAACCAGTTATGTCTGGATCTCTTAAGTAAATCTCTCGACCTACTAGGATAGTCATGTCCCATACCTTGGGCATCGTAAATAGTTTTGTGTTTATGAATAAATAAAAAATTGAAATATATGTAAATTGTTGGAATTGCATTATGTTCTCTTTTTAGAAAAGTGGACAACAATGATCTCTGCATTTTGCTCCTGTCATATTCTCATTTCTTTCCTAATTGAATAGAAATGGCTGATACTCGATGAAAATCTATAATAAAACTAATTAATACAATTTATTATATGATTTTCACTATAAAGGGTTTTACAAAAACCACAACACGTGTTTCACTATATAATAGCTTCCTCAAGTGTAAACTCTTGATAATCAAGAAGTTCAATGTTATTGAATTTTGAGAAAACATCAAAAGAATCTTTGATAAAATATAGATTGTCAAATTCATAGGCTTTGGTTAAAATGTCTGTAGGAAAGAAAATGTCTGTAAGAAACGAGGTAAGTTTCTCTGTAGGAGAACCAATAGATGCAATAATAGGTCTGACAGGATTGGTTTCAGCAACAATTCTTGGTGAAAGTTTGGATAGTAATGATTGGTGACTACATAATTGGCACATTTCTTTCTACCAGCAAGATTAACAGGTGAATCCATATTGTTAGAAGGGCCGGTACTTGTAAAAGGCAACACGTTTATGCACGACGGGGCTCCAGCTCATTTTGGTATTCTTGCTTGTCAGCATCTTGACATCACCCACCCTAATCGCTGGAATGGATTTGCAGGACCTCAAAATTGGCCAGCTCGCAGTCCTGATATGAATCCTCTAAATTTCTATTTATGGGTTCATCTGAAGGCTCTTATTTATGAAACTCCTAACTAGATATGAATGACTTGTATTGTATCAGAAGGTGGACATTTTGCTCATTTAATAATTTCAATCAAGATCGGGCTAAATAAGCGCCTTATTACTTCAAATAACTGTAGCAAAGTTCAACCAAATCCGTGTAAGGATATTTATGATATTTTATAAATACCGGTTTTTTTTTAAATTTCAACGCCCTGTATCTCAGAAACGAAACAACTCCAAACATATGTTCATAGGAACTTTTTTTCTTAAAAGAACCTAATGATTCACCCTCTGAAGTTTTCTACCGTAATTAGAAAACACCCTGTATTCAACAGATACGTAGTCTACACAAAAGTAAACTTTTAAAATGAGACAAGGACAACGTTTCAAGTTTCAAAACAAATATTAAAACAAGTTCCAGTTTTTTGCCCCGAAGTAAAGTCCAATGTCATTTTACAATAATTACTAAATGATGTTCACTTCGATCAGTGAATCGATTCGATGACTTGATAAGTTCAAAGATTTCGGAAGTAATACTTGAAATGTGACACACTAGTTCCGTCTCATTCACTTGAAACATCCAAAAATGCAGATGCTCCTGCCATAACTAGTGAGAAAGCAAAACAGCAAAAGTATCGAAATATATTGGAAATAACTATATTTCATTCTGTGGCTGCAGAAACTCTCGATGTATTTGGCCCCTCATCTCTTAATTTTGTTGCTGAAATTTATTTGTTACGACCGGTTTGTTAAACCATTCGCAAGTAAACTGATACAGTTTGTCAAAAAATATACAGTGATATTTATAACTTTTATGGCCTATCACTAACAAACTAAATATGCCCAACAGCTGAAACTATGAACATATGTTCCCAAACGAGTTTTCGAGTTCACCACCAACATAAAAAACTAATCGAATGTATGTAGCCCGCGAAATTTGAACATTCATCTTATTTTTTGAACACCCCCACGTATACATACATCTGTAATTACATACATACTAGGTATATGTGTAGCCTATATTCAATCTACTTATTTATTGATCTGGCCTGAATATGTATCTGTCCTTTCACACACCATTCAACTTTTTTGAAAATCAACGTCAGGATTCGTCATTGAATCGATTCCCAAAATATATCTCCTACACTGAATATCACTGGAATTTCTATTACATCATGAAGTCCGCGCCGGAGAGCTATTTTTATTTGATTGGGTCAATTAAATAGTTTCATTAACTACTCGTAGATATTTGGGTAAACGGCCTCGTTTCAGCTAGTTTTCGAATTATTTATTTGGGATACTAATGAAGTCATCTGGCTCTGGCATATGTTTGTCGGCCTTCAACCTATACTCCTTGATAATTGCTTAGCTTGATGTTGCAGTTTCAAAGTTACGCGCGAACGAGTCAGTATATCCGACGAGGTTATTATTCATTTAAGCTGATTCCTAACATTTTATTATAAGTTCAGGGAAAGTGCGTCAAATACACCACTGTCATCATGTCTGCAAATGTTGGCGACTTTCAGATTTTCGTGAACGTTTATTCTCTTGCCAATCCAGCCTTTTGCAGTTATTTGCTGTGCGTGTCACTTTTAGTACTGAAAATGATGGGTACTATTTTATTGATTGTATACCACAGAATGACAACAAAGGTAGGTGTAAAAGACAGATATCAACACAGTGTTGCCGATGATAAACCTTCAAATTACCCACAAGTGTGTGTCTGAAAACCTACCCGATTTTTGTCATTTTCAAAAAGTAGGTTTTCAGATAAAAATGTATGTTGAAAGCAAGTAATTTCTTGCTTTGAAAGTCGATCTCCTCATCGATTGATACAAAATGTTCGATACCCACGCTTTTACTTCTGAAGGCTCAATTGTTTCAATTTTAAAAGCCGCAAAGATTTGAATAAAAACTAAAGTAGTTGAATGTATTTATTGATACATGCAACAGCAAATTATTTTGGTACTCGTGCACAATTAGTGTATTTCTATCCTTATCCTTCAAACTATGTAGTGTAGAAAAATGAATAAAATAGCACATTATAGCGAATGAACATTTTTTATAAGAGTTAAATAGTAACTGAGTTTTATATTTAATTGTTGGCAATCGTAATTTCCGTCATAATTCCCAATGTTATTTTACGAAATAATGCCAGGATGTTTACCCTATCATGAGTTCGATTACCCGTTAATTATCCAAAATGAATTTTGTTAGAAAATTACCAGGAATAACTTCAAATTACCACGATCCTGGTAATTATCAGATTATTGGCAACGCTGATTCAACGCCAACTGGGAACATAATTTTTAAAATTCCAGTGTTGTCAATTGAAATCGCTCAAAATACTTTGATGATAATGTATATTTTATATTTCATCGAATAACATAATATGAAATACCTAAGGAAAAAATCTAAACCTATCACAATTGAAAAATATTAACAATGATTAAAAAGAAGTACATTACAATACTGTACTACTACTACTACTGTACTGTAGTAAGTCTGGTAAAAACGATTGATTTCAGAAAAAACTCACAGAATCGTGTAAAAAATTACAGTGAATAACTTTTTAGCAGAAGTTGTTTCGCCCCGTTTTACGTTCTGCACAAAGACCTACTTCCTTGAAAATATTGAATGGAAAGAGGTATCTAGTGATAGTTCATTTGAAATATACTCAAACATAAACCCCAAACCATCAAAAAGTTGCACGTATATCGTCTGACACTTCTGAGTCATATGACAGTCATCTCATTAAATGTCGCATGTCAACATATTATCCAAGAAACGTTAAATGACATGTCTAATACTAGCATAGAAGATTCAATTCATTCGTTCACACTATGTCAAACTATGCAACAACATTGTTCCAATTTTCAATAACATAACTGCACTTTTATTGTAAGTCGATGAAAATATTCGCCAATGCAGAAATTACTTGCAAATTGGCATCGCCGTAATTCTCCATACTCATGTACACCTTACGGTGTTGCCAATAGCTTAAACATTTCGGTACATCTTGATATATGCTTCTTACTTTTAAAAATGTAAATATTTAATATTCAAGTACAAAAAAATATGTAACTATTACTATATTCATTTCAGTCATTCATAAGCGAGGAGGATGCTGTGTGGCAGAGAGGCGATACCGCGCCAAATGAAAAGGTAGAGAGGGTGAGAAGGTAGGTTAGAACTTGCTTATAGGTTGAAAAAATAGGCTTATAATCGCACTAGAGCCAGTGCAGTAGACTGTTAGAAGGAAATAGAATGATGAACTAGGCAACTGAGTATTGCAGTAGATTAGGTAACTACGTCAATGGAATATGTAGAATATTTTCAAATCTTGAAATAAAAAACGGTAAACAATTTTTTCTATAAATTCAATATTGTGGAACTATGAGAAAAAAATGCAGTGACAAACAAAAGATGGAATTTTTTAGATTTGATAAAAATTTGCTTGTCACAATAACGATAATTTTTTACCACAATTTTCTGTAAGATTAAAAAAGGAGTAGTATTTTTAAACAATAAACTACAGTTTGTAAAATATAGGAAGAGCTTTCTAAATTTCGATATAGTCCCGCCCACTAGATGCGCGATGGTGAAAGCGCTCAGTTGTATTAATAATCTTTCAGTGTATACATCGGCAGTACACGATGCCAAATTGTACTTCTTGACGAGCGCTAATTTCTAATTTCCATTATCTTTCATCCTAATGCGTACTTTAATTGTCAAGGAAGGTGAAGGTTGCGAAAATTCTCAAGTTTCCTAGATTTGACAAGTTGTATACGCTATCTGTTGAAGCAGTTCTGATGTGTCCTAACTAACGAGATCTTACCTTTTAACGTGTAATTCCTAACACGGGTTGGACGATAGCAAGTGAAAATCCATCTTCCGGCCTGCGACTTGAACCTCCGATTCACACAGCGGTCGTTTGAGTAGAGCAAAGCACCCACGTCAAACCGACCGGCTTCCGTCCTACCCATAGTTATATTAAATGGGTTCCTGAACTTTTCATTATAAGTCTCGGTTCCTATTTTGCTTGACCTATCGAATATGAAATGGAAATCATTCTGACTATTTTTTTTTTCAGGGCCCTAATGAACGATCTGGAAAACATCATCATGTTCCTGTTCATGAGCCTGGCTTACTTATCTGTCAGACCGCCTCTTTGGGTAGTCAATCTCCTGCTAGCAATCTTTCTAGTCTCCAGGGTGCTTCACACGTTTTTCTACGCCATGTTCGTGGTTCGACAGCCAGTAAGGGCGATTTTGTGGACGATTGGTTTCATCATTACCGGATACATGGCAGCCCATACGGCGCTTTACTTGTTGATTAATGGATACATTTTTTGATTTACTTTTGTGAGGTTTTGTGTATATGTAATATATTTTTGTGAGGTTGTGTATACCTATGTAATATATTTTTGTAAGATTTGAAGCGTTAAAATTATTATTATCCTTCAGCTGCTCGATTAGTGAACCTGTGTTTGGCAAATATATAATAGGAAATTAAGATTGTACTGAATTCCTAGGTGTGCTCATAGACAAAAATCTCAAATTGGATGATCATGTTAAACAACTTAGAAGCAAGATCTCTTCTGGTTGCTATGCAGTGAGAGTACTTTCTAATAAACTAGGACCAGCTTCTGCCAAAATGGCATATTATGCTCTTTTAGATTCTCACCTACGTTATAAAATACCTTTCTGGGAAATGTGTGGCTCAACACTTCTCAAGGAAATGTTCATTTTACAAAAAAAGGCCATTAGGTTCATATATAAAATCAGACCCCGTGAGTCATGCAGGGAAATTTTCACAAGTTACAAAAAACTCACGGTCATAGCATTATTGATTGTGGAGTCGAACTGACTGGTAAACTTGAGTGAAAGTCAGTTCAGAAAAACTGTATTTTTTTTTTCTGAGAGACCCTACTACTCGTTTCAGGAATTCTTCTATTCATTTCATTAACTGTGCATAACAATGTTTTATATTTCAGGTACTCTACCATTGTCTATAGACAATGACTCTACCATGTTGTTTCCGTGTATACCTCCTTTTTGATTATTTTATTCTCCTTACTGTCCCACTAGGTGACGTACCAATTAATTCATTTTCTGCTAGATATGTCTATTTATTTATTTATTTCAGGTTTATAGTAGATATGACATATGTTTTATTTATTTTCAAGCTTTGTCCTTTAGCTGTTTTTGTAAATTAATAAAACAGTAAAATAGGGTAAACCGTCTTTTCCCCTGGCAGTTATTTTTTTTATACTTCCTTCTAACTCTGTAACTGTGAAAGGTTTTGATTTTTCTGCAGTAATCTTCATATGAAACTCTGGGTTAAGTTACATGCAGATTGTTGATTAACTATTTGTGAATGGTGCAACCCTTTCGAATGTCTTTTACGACGTCACTGGATTACTTATTCTGTGTACAAAAATACACAGTTCAAATTGTGTACTTACTTTTTTGATTGTATCCACTTTGGATAAATACTTATATTAGGTATAAATCAACATTTTCGATACCATGTAGTTGTTCAATGAGCGAATACATTTCTTTCGTTCTTTATACGTTTTTATGTACCTATATGTACTTAGATAGAAGTACTAAAAAATAAGTAACTATTACCAGTATAAAGATAATACTAAATACTATGAGAGAACTATTATCTTCAAATGGAACGGCTGGTTACGTCATCTCATATGTAATGATTAAAGTTATAAGATCGGAATATTTTTTGTCCGTCGTTAAGTTGTATCTATTAACTTTAAAGTGTCGCTAGAATATTCTAAATTTGCACAAATGTGAAAGTAAAAAAAATGTCTACTAAGATATTAAAGAATGAAAAGAATACGGGCGTGAAATGTTAAATCTGCCAGCATTTTAATAATCTAAGACTCAGTACAATTTTTGTATAACAATATATGCTCTTCATTTCAGTATATTCTGCCATCTCTCATAGTTTTCATTTAAGTTATAAAACGGAAAAGAAATCTATAGAATACATTGTAGTTTTTTTATTGACCGCGAGATGCCACGTGAAAACTAAACAAAATTTATAATTTTCAAGAAATCTTGTTACCAAAAATGTCTATGAGTGAGGAACCCAGTAAAAAAATAGAAATTAGCTACTATTTCTACACCATTGTTTTTATAAATAATAGAACCACTGCTTTCGTGCTTTAAAATGTTTCAATAAACTAGAATAACTGTCAACTCTCAGTGAAAAATTAATTCACTACAGAGTAGCCAACATAACCGTCTCAATCTGGTCATACTTTTTAATTTTGACAGTTGACATGTTGCCTTTCTTTCATGGCGCAAGATGTATTTAGCAAAATGGCTGAGGAACAGTGGATTTTAAACGAAGATGGATATTTAAATGTGGATACAGATGTGAAAGAAATAATTTACCATCCTTACCTTAATGTTATTCTTATAAGTACACACAGTGGAGTGGTGAAAGTGCTTGATGTAAATTCTGGTGTGATTCTCCAATCGAGTCATCTCTCAGGTATAATAAAGATGATTATATCAATTTGTGATAATAAACGACCAACCCTTTTTGATATTTTCAGCCCAAAATCTGACCCAGGTCAAGTGTAAGTACATCCCTTCATTGGACAGAGTGTTATTTACTGATGGGCAAGCCCTGGGTGTGAGATCAGACTATAATGGTGTTTTACTCCTAGACAGTGTTCTCCAAAAGACAGTTAGTGATAGCAAAGAGGAAGTGAAATTAGAACTACCCCTCTCTGAGGTAAAAATGTTTTTCAAAGTATTTGTATATGCACAGTAATGTTATTGTTGCCCCACCTAAACTGCTTGGGTTAGGAAAAAAATTATACAGTTTCAGACATGCCTAAGTTAATTCTTAAGGAAACAAATCAATTTTTTTAAGGTTTATGATCATCCTTTATTACAAAATCTTTCGGATTTGTAAGTTGACCCATAAAAGTTTGCTTGGAATTTCATTAGTGGAATTTTGTAAAACAAACTGATGATAATGTAAATTAGGTACATTTCAATAAATAGAGATGAAATTGAAAATTGTTGTGACATATTTATATGAGAAATTCAGTGATTATTTCATAAATGTAGATCCTAGAATCGATCAATAGAATTAGAAAGAAGATCTTGGGTTTGACTACATAAGTATTAAAATTAATAAAACTTTTGAATAAGAATTAGCTCCTTTAAAGGGCCATTTAGAATTGTTTGAAAATGTTGATGAGTCGGAATTATTTTATAAAGGTTCATATGAGTTTCACAAACAGAATCTGCTGTTTTAGATGCTCTTACAAAATTCCAATTCTGTTTTCACAAATAAGAAATGTACATTGCTCTTATTAGACTTCACAAAAGTATTTGATATGGAAGATCATAAAATTATTTCGAATACTTTATATTATGTGGGTATCAAAAATTCTCAACATTACTTATGTAATGGAGACCAGTTTGTATGTGTGGGGAAAATAACTGGGTCAAGGAAAACTGACAATGTGAAGTTCCACAAGGATCTATCCTTGGACCAAAACATTTTCTTATATATGAATTCAATGACTGACTTGAATTTAGTAGAAAAAATTGATTTGTTTGCTAATGATACATCATTCATAAATTCCAGAAATAATTTAAAGAAATGAAAAGAAGTAGTATACTTTATGATTTTGAGGAAATTATCATTAAATTAAGAAAAATCATTCATGTTTATCTTAAATTTTCCACAACTGAATATCTTCAATACCCAAAATTAGAAATATCCTATTACTGAAATGAATGCAATGTATTTAAGTATTTCTCTCTGGTTCATTCATAACTGAATTATTTGATATCAATTTGAGGTGCAGCTTCTAAGGCGAAAAGTAAAAACCGTATCAGACATATCAATGTTGTGGAAACTTCACCTTTGCACCTTACCTTATCTGGCAAAAAAAGTTGAAACACGTAAATTTGAGTTTCAAATTTTAGATGAACAATCAGTTTATTGGAGTGGTTTCACACTACATAATGATTTGCCAAATAAATTCAGCAAACTATGATTCAAACAAAATTTTAAAAATATCCCCTGTTGAAAACTATATCATCAATACATATATTTCATACATCGTATTAAGATAAATTTATTATAAACACTTTCTAATTTGTTTTTTATATTATTAACATTTATTCCTAATATATTCATTTAATGTTTTTTGGAAAAATTAACAGTTTCCTTCCTGTCATTATCATTCATTTTTACTTTTTATCTGAAAGATTAAATGATTATGTAATCCGGTTACTTGATAAAAAAGCTATGTTGTATAGTCAACAGCTACTTTTTTATCAGTTAGATATATCAATTTAAAGTTCATACTATTGTTTGTAATCTAATAAAATGCTACATTTTCTCATAAACGTATAGGTGAAATACCATTACCAAACATTTTTTTCAAAGTACTTATGTGAATCTTATATAAGTAATTACCTTGATTATTACCGCCTGTTGAGTCTAGTTACTCGTAGGACTTCTTATGGACCATGAAGTAACCAAGATTCTGACTCTGAGTCTACAGAGGAAATGAAGGACCTAACGACCCCAATTGCCCTCATTATAATAGATCGAGCGAGAGAGGACCCTTTATTTACTATGAAGTATACATTGCATAAAAGCATTCTACAATAATTACATGACCAGACAAAATGACAGTTTTCACTTGTCAAATGAAATTGGTCTAACTCTATGAAAATTTTATTATATAAGGGTCTGAATAAATACAATAAACTTCACATAATCTGAAGGACATTGAAAACCAGTTGTCTGGTTATATTCGTGATACTAATATATTTTGTGCCACTTTTGTATTAGTTTTTTCAGGTTGATTACGTATTACATTATGCCATGTTATAATATTCTTCAGTGTAACTCATAGTGATATGTTGAAAATTGATAAATCATTCACTCATTTTTGAAGTTACCAAGATTCCGATTCTGAGCCTACTTTCAACCAAATTATTGAGCAACAGTAGCAGAATCTGAATCATTTAAGAAACCAAGGTCACCCTGAGCAAATCAGCAAACAGAAAAGCTCAAACAAAAATTCACCTCAATCAATGGTGAAAAAGCCTTTCGTGTTCGTCAAATATAGCTGATTTACAGATGCCCTTGAATCAATATACTTCTGAATTGAATTAGGAGTATATTGATTTGTTGTGTTTGTTCCAAACTCCATATTGTTCCACAAGAGAGAACTTCCTCCAGAAGAATGAAAGAGCATACAAATAGTTTTTCGATCTGTATCAGGAGTGTATAAGTTGACTTGTGTTTTTTGTCCCTAACTTCATATTGGTCAAACAGGGAAAACTATGTCTGAAAGAATAAACGTGCATTGATTTTTTTTTAATTCAATATCCACATCTTTTGGCAGTTTGACGAGAGTTCAATCAGGACTATTCTGAAAATCTAAAAGAAATCTATATTTCAATAATTCAACTCTCTCAATGGCAGTTTTTTGAGCCCGAATATAACAATAATAATACATAGACATTTACTGATATAGTGTATTGTCTCTTTGAAAATTTCTCAGTATGAAAACCCAAAGATTGATTAAAAAGATACCATGGATAAATAGAAATAGCAACTAGAATGAAAATATTTTTCAACATATAGTATATTTTCAAGTAAGCCTCACTTCATATATTTCCTTTCACTTTATACCAAGAGGTTTTTTTCTAAAATATGTTATTTAATTGTTATAATTGTCTTATTGATAAGTGTCAGTACGTCGTCCTTCCACGGATCTCTTCAATCTTGGGAACGGAAAAATGTTAGCAGGGGGCTAAGGCATGATCACAGTGTTGTTTTTGGCTTCCTCGTACGTTTGAAAACATGCCCGAAGAAGCCATTTTATGGCAAAACACGTATTGCGTTTTTGTAAAACTGTTTAGTAAAAATTTCACAATAATATGTTTTTTGAGCGCATATAAATGGCCAGGAAGTAAAAAATATAATCTTCCTTTTATAAATGTCTTCTTATTTTTCTGAAATATTCATTATACCTCCTAAAAGATTTCTGATTATAAAAAGTGAAAGTTTCCACAACACACTTCACATAATTTTATGAAAACAGTCGAACCTTGATTCCTATTAGACTAGGAATAATAGTAATGCTGTGCCTGTCAAATGTTGGGATTCAAAAAACTGCACTTGTTTTTAAATTCAGCATTTGAATTATTTTTACATTACGTTATGTTTTATGTCTCGGAATATAAACTTGATTATCAAGTTATTAATTTTTATTACTGGTTATATGACAAGTGGTCTGTGATCTAGAAATAGTTTTTTTAACCCCATTTTGTATACAAAAATGCTTGCAAAAATCAGCTAATACATAACTTCATCATTTTTAACTTCATTATCATTAGTTACATCCAGTGCTTCTATTTCAGGCGAAGGGTTTTCTCTTCTGTACCATTCTATGTTCTCGAAGAAACAAATATAGTGTTTCCATCTGCTTTTTTTGTTTCAGGCAATCATTCTAAAGGAAAGCTTGTTTGGTCATGTTAGTGGCGTTGATCATATAATAAATGAACTAACAGACGTCATTTCGAATGCCCAGCAGCATCATAAAAAGGGTATCAAGGCCCAAAAAGTGAGTACCAAATAAAAACTATTTCTATCCGAACTATTTGAAATAAGAAATGTAATTAATTGGAGGAAATACTCAGAAAAGGTAATATAAAGTGGGATACAGTTTCCAATTGGCTCATTATCACTGATATTGATTAATTGAGTCATATGTGTTGTCATATTATGTCAAATGAAATTACTTCGTATATTATATTTTATGACACTGATGAAGTTGTTTTGTTTATAAAAAATGGCGAATGTACCCTATTTCCATTCATGGTGCTAAATTTTAAAGGTGAACTACATTTCCTTCTCAATCAGGGAAATAGCTGAAAGTAATAGGTATCTTTCTAATATAGTAGATCGTAAATCTTTGACTTGAAAAAAAAACGGATTCTAGGTTCATTGTTGTTCAACACAATAATGGATTAGATCGCGCAAGAATTAGAGTTATATGAAATAAGCTGTGAGAACTGTGTCAAACACTATATTGGTCAAACTAAAAGAGGTAATGAAATTTGTTTCGAAGGACATAGTGCATATATCCGATTTCTGAGACCAGAAACGTGTAGCAAGGCTCAACACGGTACAGAGATTTGTCTAAGATTGAAATTGTTGAAATCGGAACATGACACTAGACTTTTGGATGCTTTTTAAGCTTGGAAATAACAAAGTGTGGTATGACAACTATGAACAGTGACAAAGGTCCTGTTTCAAACAGACCATTGTTTATTGTTGTATTACTATATCTGTTGAAGATTAGCATGAACTTTCATAGAAAATCTCTTGCTAATTTTATGCCAGAATTAAAATTAAGTATTAGTCTAATTTATCCTCTGATGATGCCAACTTGCTTGGTGAAACGCACATTGAGTTTGCAGGTCTGGTTTTTAGAAGTCCAGAAACCAAAATAATTTTTTTATTTTATTTTGGTGTATCTAAATTATTATATGCGAGGCCTGGCCTAAAGATGACAGTAGTTGTTTGAAAAATATCACTGCATTAGAAAGTACACAATCTATAACAAATTTTAGAATCCCCTTAATTTTTGAGAAATCAACAGCCAGAAAATAATATTTTATGGCAAGTTCAAATATCACTAATGATTCTATTATCATATATTTTTGATCATAAAAACTCAATCTTAGTTCAAAATTTACTCTGAGAACAACTATAAAATAGATTAGGAGATAACAAACAGTAAGTGCTTAATGATAAATACAAAAGTATCAAATTACAATTGAATTATATTTCATTTTGAATGGCAGAATGGTTCAGTCTCTTAAATTTGAATAATTATAATCATCACCAAAGTTATGAACTTATGGAAGACCCCTCAAATTTCAGGCCCATTTCTTTATTATCGACACTTTCAAAAATTATTGAAAGATTAGTGAAAAAAAGACTAATGTCCATCTTATCGATAAACAATGTGCTATCTAGCCTTCAATTCGGCTTTCAAAGTTCGAAAAATACCACAGATGCCATTTTCTCCTTTCAAGAAAATGCATACTCTAGCATAAATGATGGCAAGGCTGTTGCAGCAGTGTTTTGTGATTTCTCGAAAGCTTTTGATTGCGTTGATCATAAGACACTGCTGTGGAAGCTCAGCCATTATGGGATAAGAGGAACAAAGTTGACCTGATTTGGTTCATATTTGACAGGACGTCGTCAGGTGGTGAAAACATCAAGTGGACAGTCTGATCTCAGTGACATAAAACATGGACTACCTCAGGGGTCTGTTTTAGGACCAATGTTGTTTTTAATATACTTAAATGACCTAATAACCATTAACATCGCAGGACAATTTACTGTATTTGCCGACTATACCACTATTATATGGAGTAGTAAAGAAATTAATCAGCTATCAAATATGATAAAAATAGATACTCAACAAATTCAAACCTGGTGTAACGCGAACTCCTTGTGCTTCAACCTCAACAAAACAAAACTAGTTACTTTCAAATGTACACTAGACGATTTAGATTTAGATAACCAGTACATAGAAAANNNTTTATTTATTTATTTATTTATTTGACACTTTGGTACATTGAGTACATGTGCTAAGTCATAATTAAAAAACAAAAATAAAACTACAGAAGTTGAACAATACAAAAACAATAAATATGGTTCACGTCCACAAACTTTCACAACATAGAAGTATTATATAAAAAATCGGAGAAGCTCTAGCAAATACTCTCAAAATGTCATGAAAAAGTGTCGTGCAAGAATTCCTCAAGACTGTAGTAACACTTCTGTAAGAGAAGTTTCTTCACCTCAATTTTAAAAAGTTTATCTGACTCGATTTTCCTAATAGATGCCGGCAAGTTATTATAACAGTTTGTTGTATTAAATAGTGGGGAGCATCTAAAGTGAGCCGTTTTGTGTGAGGGGGTTCTTAACAGTTTCCCATGACGGGTGTCTCTACCATGTATATCCGCATTTGTGACAAATTCAGTTATATTGTTACGGGCAAAAGTGACACACTTCAAGATAAATAAAGAAGGTGCCGTCAATAGGCCCTCTCTTAAGAAAATTGGTCTACAACTATCTTGAAAATCTATATTAAAAATTAGTCTCAGCAATCTTTTCTGAGCAACAAAAACTCGTGGAAATTCCCTTGCACATCCCCAAGAAATGATATTAAAGCTGATGTGAGAATAAGCCATAGAAAAATAGACATTCATCAATCCAAAATTATCTAGAGTGTTTTTCAATTGTTTGATTGAGTAATATGCGGAATTGAGTTTGTTGCAGACCTTCTGAATATGACCGCTCCAGGTCAAATTTTCGTCTAAAGACGTTCCTAAAAACAAGACTTCGCTGGAAGATCGAATACCATTTATTGTGGAAGAGTCACTGCTGAAATTTTTCCTAATAAATGATTTCATTGAAACAGATTTAGATTTATTAGATGTGATAGATGTGGAGGGTGCTTTAGTTTTAGTAGGGCAAAGAATGATCTGTTCAGTAATTTGCATATGAAAAATATGTTGAGAAAAATGCAAATTCACCTTATTTTTTTAACAGACCTCGTATAAGATTTATTTTTTGAATAATTTTCACTAGTACCTCTAATTCCTATATCGCAGAAGATCTCTCAAAATAATTTGTTGATTGATTGTGTAAAGGTCAACTAAAATATAACTTCTTATTGCAGAAAAACTCCCAATTGAAAAGAAAATCAAATCGTTGTGCATAGTAAGCGACGAATTATACAGTACAAAACCACCGCGCCCTACAGTTATATGTGGTGTACATCTCACATGCGAGTCTGAAAAGAGCCTCCAAATAACTCCAGATATTATAGAAAAGGAAAAAACAAACGACACAAAAATATACTTGGTCGTCTACGATTTCATGTATAGCAAAGAACAGGAAGAGACTGAAAACGAATTGAATTTTGAAAATACTTTCACGGCATTCACTCCTGAAGATAAAATCGAGCAGGCAGAGACGGACGAGAAAATCGCAAATTTATTCAGCAACGTGGATACAATCGAGTTGGATTCTGAAGAGCTACCAGGATATAATCTCATGAAACAGCTGTCGTCTTTCTATAAGACTCTTATACCGGGCGAAAGCGATGAAGTTTTTCTACCACCCTCTCTGGGCTCAAAGAAATCACACACCGGTCCAAGACTGCTCATGTTCGATGAGATTAATAATACCAAAACAGACTCTTCTTCCAGCAGCCATCCCTTAACCAATGGACAGCTGAGCAGTCTGGAGAGCGCTCTTAGTATTTCTGATCATATCGCAGAGGTAAGATGCTCCAATTTTCTATTTGCTTAATGTTGATAATATTACATTTCTTGCAATAAATTGATGGATGTAGCCGTAACTTCGTGGTAGGAGATCATCATGAAAAATGAGAATGGAAACTTTATGTTTTTTACCACTTTTATTTGTAACTAACGTTACTGCAGTTTCGTCCTATAGCATTAATCTAAAAACTGAGGTTTTAGTTTTTACATTAAACTAAAAACCGACTTTTTACATTAAATTATAAACTGAATTTTTAGTTTTTACATGTAGTTTTCACGTTAAACTAAAAACTGAGTTTTCAGTTTTTACGTTAAACTGAAATTTGAGTTTTTAGTTTTTACATTAAACTAAATACTGAGTTTTTAGTTTTTACATTAAACTATAAACTGAGTTTTTATTTTTTGTGATAAACTAAAATCTGAGTTTTTAGTTTTTACATTAAACTAAA